TTAGAGATATGAAAGAATTTCACAAAGATTTTAATTCATCAAAAAATCTCCCCTTGTTTCATTGATAATCATAAAACTATTATAAGAGAAAAAAAATCTCTCCCTGTTTCACACAGCTTAATATCATCAAAATATCTCTCTGTTTCATTGATAATTATGAAAAATATTATAAGAGAAAAAAATCTCCCCCTGTTTCACACAGATTAATATCATCAAAATATCTTCATGTTTCATTGATAATTATGAAAAATATTGCAATAGAAAGTGAGAACAAATTTGCACATATTAGTACATAAATCAAGGTAGAGAAGATAATGCATTACAAGGTGTTATAGAGAAGAACATCATATTAAGGAGGCAATATCTAGGATACTCAAGATAAATGAAGAGAGAGAAAGATAGAGAAATAGAATGATTATAGAGATAATGGAATGAAATGCAGTAGTTTCCCTCAATTGTAGTCCTCTTATTTAGGCAGCTTTCAAATTCAAATGCACTCATATTTCAGATTTCAAATTTCAAATTCAAATTGCAACAAATTTCAAATTTAAAATTCAAATTCCAAATTTCAAATTCAAATTTCTAATTCCAATTAAAATTCAATTTCAAAAATCTCAAACTCGCAAACATTTCAAATTTCAAAATCTCAAACTACAAAATTTCAAATTTCAAAAATCTCGAATTGTAAAATTTCAAATTTCAAAAATCTCATACTGCAATTTTTTAAAAAAAAATCTCAAACTGCAAAATTTCAAATTTCAAAAATCTCAAATTGCAAAATTTCAAATTTCAAGAATCTCAAACTGCAAAATTCCAAACTTTAATAATTTCAAATTTTCATAAATTCAAACTTTCAAAATTCAAACTTTCAACATAATTGATTATGACAACAAGAATTTTTTTTTTTTATTCTGATAATCAATTAGATGCTCAAACTATCATCTAGACATGTATAAATGCTTTGTTCCTTTAGGCACCGATTCATATTTGCCATTAGATATGCCAAAATGTTTTATGTAACATCTATTTGATGTATGACATAATTTCATGCAATAAAAACATGTTGGTTTTCTTTGAAAAGGTCTAAATGAGTTTCTTAAAGCTTTTGAAACTAGTTTCACATCCGTTTTCCTTAACTCTTACACATAAATAGTTTTATGAGGTTCTAGACTTTCTTTGGGTTTGTAACCAAGTCCAGCTTTGCTAGAATTCCCTCTTTGATAACCTAATATAGAATCAAGATTTTCAGAAGATTTTGAAAACTTGCTTATTATTTTCTCTAACTTGAAAATCTCATTTTCCAAATGATTACAATTTTTACAAGGTTTAGCAACTTCTTTATTTTTAGACAAAGTTTTAAATTTCTCAACATCTTTCTTTAAGCACTCATTTTCTTTTTCAAGAATACCAACAATATTTTCTAATGCATTAAACTTTTGCCTAAGTGCATTGTATTTCTTAGATAACTTGGTAAAACCTTCATACATATCTTGATATTCTTTAAACAACTCATCATATTCATTTAAGGATTTTGTACTGCTTACCTATGATGAGGTTTTTTGTGATGAGGCTTCATCATTACTTTTTGTCATTAAGCAAAGATTTGCTTCTTCTTCTTCATCATTGCTTTCGGAAGAACTCTCTTGTGTTGTGGAAGAATCATTATCCTCCCAAGCAATATAAGCTTTGTGTTTGCTCTTATAGGTATCGTTCTTCTCTTTCTTCTTCTCTTTTACATCTTTCTTCTCTTTCTTAAGTTCCGGACAGTCTGGTTTGATATGACCAGGTTTTCCACATTCATAGCAATGGAATTTATTTGTTTTCTCCTTTCTTTGTTGTCTCTTTTTCCTGTTCTTCATAAAACGAGAAAATTGTTTAACAAAAAGAGACATATCGGAGTCTGAAAACTTACCTTCATTTTCGCTTTCGTCTTGTGAAGATTTTTCTGCTTTTAGAGCTATCGTCTTGGTTTGATTCTGTTCACCATTCTTTAACCTTTGTAGCTCCATCTCATGTTCTTGCAGCTTTCCAAATAGAGTAGCAATATTCATTTTCTTGAGATCCTTTGATTCTGTAATAGCAGTGACCTTTGGTTGCCAATTCCTGTCTAAGGATTTTAAGATCTTTGTGCTCAACTCCTCATTGTCAAAACTTTTTCCTAATGCTTTCAAGTGATTTATTATGTGTGAAGCGTGTCTGGAAATCCGTGATGCTTTCATTTTGCTACATTTGAAATAATTCATACTCCTGGATGAGTGTATTCTTACGTGCTCGCTTTACTTCATTTGTTCCTTCATGTGTTACTTCAAGAGTGTCTCATATTTCTTTTGTCGTCTTGCATTGTGAGACCCTGAAAAATTCATTACGAGTTAAGGCAAAAACAATAACATTTTGGGCTCTTACATCATAATGTGCACGCTTATTTTCATCTGGCGTCCATTGATCAAAAGTCTTTGGAACAGCTCCAGACTCCGTTGTTCTCATCATAATGTAGGGACCGTTGAGTACAACATCCCAAACACCGTAATCTAGTGTTTGTAAAAATATTTCCATTCTCGTCTTCCAAAACTGATAGTCTTCTCCTTCAAATAATGGTGGTCTAACCAAGCTCTGATACCACTTGTTAGACAAATGGCATCTAGAGGGGGGTGAATAGATGCACAAATTAAAATAGATGTCAAATTAAAAATTTATTTGTCTGTTAATAATTTGTTTGAACAGAGATAAAGCAGAAACGAGAATATAATCAAGAAAAGAGAAAGAGATAAGGGAAAGAGAAGAACACACAATGATTTATACTGATTCGGGTATAGCCAACCCTACATCTAGTTCCCAGTCAACTCTTAACACAAGAGTGACTCCCAATTCACTATCTTTCAAATTCAGTTTACAAATTACAATCAACTCAGCAGAAGAACCAGTAAAAAGTAAACTAATTAAAAAGACAATCACCTCCTTAGAAACCCACTAAGGATGAACACCTCCCAGAATCCCACTAGGGATGAACACCTCCTTTGAACAAATCAAAGGATGAAAAACACCTCCTTAGAATCCCACTAAGGATGAACACCTCTCTAGAATCACACTAGGGATGAAAACTTCCTTTGAACAAATCAAAGGATGAAAACACCTCCTTAGAATCTCACTAAGGATGAACACCTCCCTAGAATCACACTAGAGTTGAAAAACACCTCCTTTTCAACCAATACAAAAAGTATGAAGGTAATAAAAATAAGAAAAGTCACACTGGGGTAATGGAGACAACAAATTGTAGAAGCCTGTAGAATGACAATCTCCAAGAACAAGTGTGATTAACAATGAAAATACAGAAGACAGTAGAGAAGAGGGTATTCTCGAAGGTGTAAAATATCTTTGTTGTCTTGCTCGAATTCTTTTCTCAAAACTCGATTGAATGTAAATTGTATTTTCGAATTTTGTAATTGTGTGTTTTTTATTTTTCATCAAAACTTAATTAAATAGAAAAATAGCCATTAGATATTAATAATATTATAGAGAAAATCAGTATGTATTCAAAAATATTTATTCTTTAAAACGAATATATTTTTCAAATTTGAATTGCCATAATTGATTATATTACTAGTATAATCAATTATGACAGAGAAAATCATTTTTCCATTTCTGATGCGTCATAATTGATTATAACAGAGAAAAATATCATGTTATGAATTTTATCACACTTGTGCTTTGGAAGCTTATGCATAATATTACTTCATCAACTTGTACCTCCATATCCAGTATTCTAAGACTCTATCTAGTCTTCAGGAATCATCTTGGGCTTGCTTGAATCATCATCTTTATCAAAAACATATCTTGGGCATGTAGGGAAATGTTTCACATTGTCACCAACGTCATAAATTCATCTTGTCCTTAATTTATCTTGAATGGTGTTGACTTGAATCATCATCAAAATCATCTCTTGGGAATGTAGGGACATTTCCATCAATCTTCCCCTCATTGCTTTCACTTGTACCTCCATATCCAGTATTCTAAGACTCTATCTAGTCTTCAGGAATCATCTTGGGCTTGCTTGAATCATCATCTTTATCAAAAACATATCTTGGGCATGTAGGAAAATGTTTCACATTGTCACCAACGTCATAAATTCAGCTTGTCCTTAGTTCATCTTGAATGATGTTGACTTGAATGTAGTTGACTTGAATCATCATCAAAATCATCTCTTGGGAATGTAGGGACATTTCCATCAATCTCTCCCTCATTGCTTTCAAATTATATTTCAATTAGGCTCCATTGTAATTTTTTGTTCTGCAATTTTAGTTTTTATATGGTCTTTGATTTTTTTTTCCCCGAAATGTTAGTTCCTAGATTTTTAATTATCCATATTTATATATAATTTTTTTCTTAAAAAACATTTAATTGTGAATCTAAAAGAAAGACATTTTATACATATCAAATTAACAATTTTGTTACTTTTAGTAGATTTCTTTTGATTCCTAAGGATAAGAGTGTCCGAATTGATGGGAAGGAAAAAATCATGGTAAAATAGGTTAAAAAAAGAATTATCATAACTTTATAATTCTGGAATATTGTTTTCTACATTTTAATGAATTAAAATATTTATTAATTTAGTTTTCAAGTTGTAACACCAAATAACCTAATGAGTCAACGTTAAATATAATAACTGAAAATTAAATGAAATTAAATAAAACTAAAAAATAAATTAAGGTATCAAAATTATGTAAAAACAAAAATTCAGAGACTAAAAAATTATAGAATATCAAAATATAGGGATCTCAATTAAGTAAAAATATGGAAAAATAAATAGGGACTAAAATTTAAAATTTTGAAAAATATATAAACCAAAATTATAATTAATTCTTTAAGCTAAAATGAACATGTTGCAACCCCATATCAGTTTTATATTAGGATTGATTAGATCATATATTCAAACAATTAAGATTAAAAAACAAGTGTACCAAGAAATTGTGGTGTTTGGGGTTAGGTAAGTGCCAAGAAGAAGAATGTTTGGTAGTTTCAAAATCTTTAGGCACACTAACATTTCACATGTCCCATTCTCATTGTTCCCCTATACTACTAGCAGTTCCTCTTCCCTTGTTTTGGAGGTGGTGCACGCAACCATGAACTCAGACTCAGGTTACCAACCACTTCTAGTTGGTCTTCACTCACACTCCAACATTCCAGACTTGTCGTCAGACACCATTGAAGAATTCTTGAAACAAAGGCCCATTGAGTTGAGATGGTGGCCCCAACTTATTGCTTGGGAGTCAAGGCTCATCTGGCTACTCTCTTGGGCCTCCATTGTTGTCTCCATTTTCAACTACATGCTAAGCTTTGTCACCTTGATGTTCACTGGCCACTTGGGGTCTGTTGAGCTTGCTGGGGCATCCATAGCCATTGTTGGAGTTCAGGGTCTTGCTTATGGGGTTATAGTATGCTTCCTTTCTTTATATCCTCTCAAGCATTTGCCTAACATGTCATTATGTCATTTTGAGTGAGCTTGGTTTTGCATTTTACCATACGCCTTTTAGCTACCTTCGTTTTATTACTAGTTTTTTCATAAATGTACTTTGATTTGGGGTGGTTCTACGATCTATTGCTTCAACATCTATTTCTAGCATTGTTACATGTTTTAACTGTCATATTTTTAGTATCAATTGACTGGTCGACCAGCATTATTATAAGTCGAATCTTTAAAAATAGAGACAAACGATGTTGTTAACTTGAAATCTGATATGAAATTAGAACTTACAACTCTTCTTAGTCTTAGTCTTGTTTATTGTGATATGCATCTTATCAAATGAATGTTGGCTCCACGTACATTGTCTGTTTCAATTTTTCATTTATCATAATTTAAAATATGATAATAACTAATTAAAAATTACAAAATCATAAATGAGTTCAGTTAAAATGAAGTGAGATTCTCAAAATTTTGTGATTTCACTAAATTTGAATTGTTAATAAAGAGAATAATGCTAACATTTGTGTATATTTCATCGAGGGAAATTTCTTTGGTATGCAACTTGACTTGAATTTTGTGTGTTCAATCTGTGAAAGTGGTTGTTGAATTCTCCTTAAACAGTTGGGGATGGCAAGCGCAGTGCAAACTCTGTGTGGACAAGCATATGGAGCAAGAAAATACTCAGCAATGAGCATCATATTGCAAAGAGCAATCATCTTACACTTGGGAGCAGCAGTTGTTCTCTCATTTCTCTTTTGGTTCTCAGGGTCATTTCTGAAACTCATAGGTCAGTCAGAGAGCATAGCAGAGAAAGGTCAAGCTTTTGCACGTGGAATCATTCTTCAACTCTATGCATATGCAGTAGCATGCCCTATGCAGAGGTTCCTCCAAGCACAGAACATTGTGAACCCTCTTGCATTCATGTCAATTGGGGTGTTCCTTCTGCATGTGCTTCTCAATTGGTTGGTAGTCTTTGTGTTGGACTATGGACTTGTTGGGGCTGCCCTTACTCTCAGCTTCTCTTGGTGGCTTCTTGTCTTGTTGAATGGGTTATACATCATTCTTAGCCCAAGATGTAAGCAAACTTGGGTAGGCCTATCTGTGAAAGCTTTCAAAGGAATTTGGCCTTATTTCAAACTGACAGCTGCTTATGCTTGGATGCTGTGGTATAGACCAAAACTCCACCTAATTCTCACCCTCTTGCACACACAAAAAGCACAAATATTACTTTAAAATTGCATCTCTTGGGGTTTGTTTGATTTCAGAAAATATTTGTTGGGAAATAAGGTCGGATAAGATGGAATAATAATAATACACCAATGTGAGATCAATAAAAGACACGAATATTTGTTAACCCAGTTCGGATTAAATCCTACATCTGGGGGCGAACCAAGCCAGGAGAATGAACTAGAATAAGAGGATAAACCGAATGTTACAACTCACACAAGCCCGTATGAATACACTCTCTCTACTCTTACTTCACACTTGGATTGGATACAAATGAGGTTACAAAATGAGGTATTTATAGCCAAACAAATCCTTCTTGAGAGGAAGCTCCCTTCCTTTGACCAGGAAGTTGCAAGGAAGTAGCCTTCCTTTGACCAGGAAGTTGCAAGGAAGTAGCCTTCCTTTGACCAGGAACTTACGAGGAAGTTCCCTATCTTTGACCGATCTTTACACCTCAACAATCTCCCACTTGAAGATTGGTCAACCTGTTCATCTCTGCTCTTGGTTCCGCTAAGTCCGCCTGTTTTAATCATCAAGGCCAGTCGAAGCTACACACGCCTTCAACTTTTCCAAAGTTACCGCCTTGGTCAACATGTCTGCAGGATTCCTATCTCCCCGAACCTTTTTCAGCTGCAGCATCTTCTTCTCTAGAAGTTGCCGGATGAAATGATACTTAACCTCGATGTGCTTCGTTCGCGAGTGAAACGCGGGGTTCTTTTCCAGATGGATTGCACTCTGGCTATCGCTGTATAGAGCCACATCCTCTTGAGGTCTCCCAAGTTCATTCAAGAAGTTTTGCAGCCAAACGAGCTCCTTGGCCGCCTCCGTCACCGCCACGTACTCGGCTTCCGTTGTGGACAATGTGACTATCTTCTGCAGCTTTGAGATCCGGGATACGGCCGTCCCGCCGTAAGTGAATACGTACCCAGTAGTACTCCTCCTCTTGTCAAGATCACTTCCCGCAAAATCAGCATCGACATACCCGGACAGGGTAAGGGTACCCCTGCCAAATACTAATGCCCTGGTCCTTAGTACCCCTCGGGTACCTAAGGATCCACTTTACCGCCTCCCGATGCATCACTCCGGGATTGCTCATGAACCGACCGACTACTCCCACTCGCATGTGCTATGTCCGGCCGGGTGCGGACCATAGCGTACATTAGGCTCCCGATAGCCGAAGCATACGGCGTAACTCTCATCTTTTCTTTTTCCGAGTCATCCTGGGCGAATCCTTGTTGGACAACTTGAACCGGCTTCCCAATGGAACTCGAACCGACTTTGCAATATTCATATTGAATTCGCACAACACCTTCTCAATATAATCAAATTGAGAAAGCCAAAGTTTACCAAGCATTTCGTCCCTCGTGATTTTCATGCCCAATGATCTGCCTCGCTTCTCCTAGATCCTTCATATCAAATCTCCTTGATAGCTGATCTTTGAGCCTCTCGATCTCCTTGACATCCGATCCTGCTATCGGCATGTCATCCACATATAGCAGTAAAATAATGAAAGAGTTACCGAACTTCTTCACATAGCAACAATGATCAGCATTACACCTGGAGTATCCTATCTCCGAGCATGAAATTATCGAATTTTCGGTACCACTTGTCGAGGAGCCTGTTTCAGTCCGTACAAGCTCTTCTTTAGGCGACGGACCTGCCGATCATTTCCTCTATATCCCTCTCGGTTGCACCATGTAAATTTCCTCCTCGAGATCCCCATGTAGAAAGGCCGTCTTCACATCTAACCGTTGCAACTCCAAGTTTTCCGCCGCTACGATGCTTAACACTAAACGTATAGTGGTTAACTTAACAACAGGTGTAAAAACATCGGTAAAGTCAATACCGTATCTCCGTTGGAATCCCTTTACTACAAGTCCGGCCTTGTACCGTTTTGTTCCATCCGATTCCTCCTTGACCCGATAGACCCATCTGTTTTGAAGAGCCTTCTTTCCTTGTGGGAGATCACACAAATCCCATGTGTGGTTCTTCTTCAACGAGTTCATCTCGTCTTCCATCGCAAGCTCCCACTTGCTCTTGTGGGCATCTTTAACCGCCTCGCATAACAGTCGGGTTCCCCAGAATCGGATAAAAGTAGGTAATAAAGAGAAGGGGAGTACCTATCCGGGGCCCTTCTCATCCTCGGTTCTCGGCCCAGTGCCGAGGCGTGCTCGCTCTCGACGAATCGGTTCATCCGATTCTGGTTCCGCCTCTTCTTCCGTACGCTCGATCTCATCTATCTCGAGCTCCCACTCGTATCTCGCTGGTCTCATGATTCCGGTATTTGAAATATCGAGACCAACATACTCCTGCATGGTCTTGTCATCGTCCGGTATTCCTTCCGGTCCTTGTACATTATGCCTTCATTGAACACCACATTACGATCTGCGAATAATTTTCCGATTTTGATCATCCCAAAATCTATACCCAAATTCGTCAGTCCCATATCCAATGAATGTACATTTGACGGACTTAGCATCCAGCTTTGTCCGGTCGTCATTCAAAACGTAAGCCAAACAACCAAAGGTACGTAAGAAAGAGAGATCAACTTTCTTACCACTCCGGACCTCTTCCGGAATTTTGTTGTTCGAGTGGGACGAAGGCCCCGGTTGATCAAGAAAGCGGCCGTGCTGATCGCTTACGCCCAAAACATCTTGGGCAGTCCACTCTTCAATCGCATGCATCTCGCACGCTCATTCGGTGTTCTGTTCATCCTCTCCGCAATGCCATTTTGTTGAGGTGTCCCTGGGACCGTCTTCCGCATCCGGATCCCATGATCGGCGCAGTATTCTTTGATGGCTTCATCGTTGTACTCGCCACCGTTGTCGGATTCGAGACATTTCACTTCCAGCACTGTCTCTTTCTCCACGAGTGCTCTCCATCTCCTGAAAGTATCAAAGGCTTCGGATTTTCTTTTCAGAAAGTACACCCATACCTTTCTTGTGCGATCATCGACGAACGTCATGTAGTACATCGATCCTCCAAGAGATGTCATCGGTGCTGGCCCCCATAAGTCGGTGTGCACGAGCTCCAGCTTTTCTGTCTTTGGAGCTCTTCGGTGGTTATGAAGCTCACTCGCTTCGCTTTCCAAGCACGCATTGCTCGCAGAGACCCACGTCCACCGACTCCAACTCGGGCAAAAGTCCTCTCGACTTTAGTACCTTCATTCCTTTTTCGCTCATGTGGCCCAAGCGATCGTGCCACAAGTGCGATTGTGAGACAACTCCTGCCAGGAGAATGTTTGAGCTGGATCTACTCGCCGTGTAAAGCGTTCCCGACTTCAGCCCTCTTGCCAAAGTCATAGCTCCTCGGCTGACCTTCCACTTTCCGTCTCCAAACATTGTGTGGAAGCCGTCATTGTCCAGCTTGTCCAACCGAGATGAGATTCCTCTTCAGTCCTGGAATGTGTCTCACATCACGTAGGGTCCAAGCATGACCCATTTGCGGACTTGATCCGCACATCTCCCTTCCCTACAATTTTTAGGGATTTGTTGTCCGCAAGATATACCAAGCCAAAATCACCTGCGGTGTATGGCTCCATGATGTCTCTGCTATCGCATGAGTGAAATGAGGCCCCCGAGTCCACGATCCAGTCATCGAGCGAGCTTCTCACACTCAACAAGAGTGCATCCGCCGTGTCCTCCGTCGCGGCATTGGCTCGTCCGACCTTCTTTGTCTTTCCTTGGTGCCCGGCATTCGCTTTTCATATGCCCAGGCTTCTCGCAGTTCCAACACACCATCTCTTTCTTGCCTTTATTCCTTCCCCTGGATTTTGACCTCCCACGGATTTTCCCTCGTGTTTCGGGTCTCCTCTCGGACTCTGTATGTAGGGTCGAGCCGGACGACCCACCTGCCCGATTTCGCGGGTCTCCTCGTTCAACATCATATCTCTTATGTTGTCGAACTTCATCTTCTCCTTGCCGAAGAAGTGCTCACCGAAGTAACGACCACGTCCCAACTGTCCAGGCAATGATGAGAGCAAGATTAGGGCTTTTACCTCATCATCAAACGAAATATCCACCGATGTCAACTGCGTAGTGAGTTGGTTGAAATCGTTGAGATGATCGGCCACCGACTTTCGCTCCTCCATTTGCAATTTGAACAGCTTTTTCATCGGCATCACCTTGTTTATTGCTGATGGTTTTTCATACATGTCGGCGAGTATCTGCAAGACCTCCTTCGTGCTTTTTGCTCCCTTCACATGGTAGGCGACGTTCCGAGAGAGCGAAAGAATTATAGCGCTCATCGCCTTCCGATCGAGCACCTTCCATTCATCATCGCTCATCTTCTCGGGGTTTTCCCCAAGAGGTGCGTAGAGGTCCTTCCCGTACAGGTAAGCCTCCATTTGCATTCGCCAGAATCCAAAGTCGGAACCATTGAACCGTTCAACTTGAATCTTTCCCTCCATCTTATCTCCAACCTCCTGGCTCTGATACCAGTTGTTGGGAAATAAGGTCGGATAAGATGGAATAATAATAATACACCAATGTGAGATCAATAAAAGACACGAATATTTGTTAACCCAGTTCGGATTAAATCCTACATCTGGGGACGAACCAAGCCAGGAGAATGAACTAGAATAAGAGGATAAACCGAATGTTACAACTCACACAAGCCCGTATGAATACACTCTCTCTACTCTTACTTCATACTTGGATTGGATACAAATGAGGTTACAAAATGAGGTATTTATAGCCAAACAAATCCTTCTTGAGAGGAAGTTGAGAGGAAGCTCCCTTCCTTTGACCAGGAAGTTGCAAGGAAGTAGCCTTCCTTTGACCAGGAAGTTGCAAGGAAGTAGCCTTCCTTTGACCAGGAACTTACGAGGAAGTTCCCTATCTTTGACCGATCTTTACACCTCAACAATATTTTCTATTTTTACTTATAATTGCAAAAGTACAAAACCTAGTGCTACTTTCTGATTAGAATTGAAGTTTTATTCCAGAAATCTGCATAGTAAATGCTTTCATTCAAAATCAACATGAGATACTGAGACAAAACTTTAATTCTAATCGAAGAATAAGTACTTTAAAATCTGTATCTAAAATTTGTCCTCACAAAAATACCACTTTTATTTTCACTTTGTAGTACCCTCTTTTCAATGATTTGTTTGGTGAAAACACCAAAATGTTATTATTTACCATTACCTTTACAATTTTATTAAGAGGAAGCAAAGTGAAAAGTTAGATGGTATTTTTGTAATTATCAATCAAAACAATAAATGAAAACAAGACAAAAATAAAAATAAAAAAATCAAACAATACAGTTTAGTTTCACATAATTTATTTCTTTAACAAACTACAGTTGCATTCTAATGTAGTTTGGAGACATGGTACAATCAGGGACTAGTACTTTTATCTGGGTTGCTCTCCAATCCTACAGTCTCAGTGGACACTATTTCCATTTGGTATGTTATTCTGAGGACATTATTTATTGGTATAACCAATTAATGTACATCTTATCTAACCATAATTTCCATACCTTCATTGTAATGCTCATTTAGTATCAATTACTTAAACTGGGACCTGCAGTTTATGTTGGGTCTAAGTGCTGCAGCCAGGTTAGTGTCAGAAGACTCAACAAAAGAATGTTTATTTAAGTCAACTTAAATCATGTTAATGAGAAGTTGGGTGATTGTAGTGTCAGAGTGAGCAATGAATTAGGGGCAGCTCATCCAAGAGTAGCAAAATTTTCTGTCATTGTAGTGAATGGAGTCAGCATTGTCATCAGTGGAGTTTTCTGTGCAATTATTTTGATATTCCAGGAGCCTTTGAGCAAGCTTTTCACTTCTGATTCTGAAGTCATCGAGGAAGTTTCTAGTCTGACTCCACTGCTTGCTATCTCAGTTTTCCTAAATTTCATTCAACCAATACTGTCAGGTAAGAAAATCTACTTCCACTAAACTTAGGAAAATGAACTAATTCTTGATAAAAATATCAATTAATATGATGTAAGTCGATAATTGCTTCCTATCCTTCCTTTTGTGTATTTTCATTTGGAAAATTTCAGGAGTTGCGATTGGAAGCGGATGGCAGGCTGTTGTGGCTTATGTAAACTTGGGTTCTTTCTATGTCATTGGTCTTACTCTTGGATGTGTTCTTGGCTTTCAAACAACTCTAGGAGTAGCTGTAAGTTCAAAACATTTCTGATACAGATATCTGAATAAATTTCTTTGTAAATATTTCTAATAAATTCTTTAAAAATAAAAACGAACATATACACAGATTAATTTGTAGAAATATAATCATATTAGAGCCTCTGAAAACGTATTCCAAAGACTTTGCATGAATATTTGTGGTAATTGGATTTGTTACAGGGTATCTGGTGGGGGATGATCTTTGCAGTTTTAGTACAAGCAGCATCTCTAGTAATTATGACTGCTAGAACAAATTGGGATGCAGAGGTAACAAAAAATAAAAAGAATACAGTAATTGCTTGTTACATGTAAAGTGAAACAATTTACTGTGTAATTGTAGGTTGAAAAAGCTCTTGCTCGCATCAAAAGATCAGCAGAAGATGAGACCCTGGATCACTGCTTTACCAACTATTAACATTTTCATTTCCAACTTTCTCACGCTTAGAATTAAAAGGTTGTTTAGCAGCACAATTTTCTTGTTTTGGGCCACATTTGATACGTTGCTACACTTTGTACCAGTCACATATTCACATAGTGTTTTTAGCTGTTTTTAATGTTTATACAGTTTTTCTATTTTATTTGTAAACTTGGTTAAAATTTTCTTATGTTTAGTCAAAACTAGTAGTTGTTTGTTTTTTACTTCATCGTTATTTTATGTTTGCTATGTTCAATTTGAAGTTCATAATTTTTTTATTGAAATTCTTAGCGTAAAATGACAAATATGTAAAATCTGAATACGAAGTTAATATATAAAAAAATCAGTTATTCTTTTCTATTCTATCTCTTTCATTTTTTATGTTTTAAATAATTTTGATGATAGAAAAACTAAATCAATATTCACTCCAAGATAATTAGGGAAGAAAATGCCAAAAATATGTCTCAAAATTAAAAATTGAGAAGTCATGAGTTTGAAATAATTGAACAAAGATATGAATAAGATGTTGGCAGTAAAATGGAAGAAAATATTTTATTAAAAACTAATTTCAAGGACAAAAACCAGGAAACTGCCTCCAGCATGTGAAATTTTTGAAAACTTCTTAATCTATAATTATGGTGTCCCTTTCCAAGCCATCATTTTACATCGTTGGGAAACATATGAGTGACGATAATGTTAGGTAAACATTAAATGCAGTTTAAATTAATAGTGTTGGTAGAAGTATCTTAAGAAAGTGCAAAGTCACCAGTGCATCAAGTAATGATTGTGACATGCCCTAGAGTACTTTAATTATAGTGATTGTATTAAATGCACGTAGTTGAGAGACCATGTCTAGAGACTTATAAATTGATCATGTATCGCTTATTGCAAAAATACATCAAGTGATAATATATAGAGTGCTTTATTTATATTTTGTTTGTCAACAATTTGGTATTCAGAGTTTGAGAGTCTGAGTGTCTGATTGCGTTAGAGAGTGTTTGAGAGTTAGATAGTTTGTTCAAGATGACCAACTTAGCTAACAATATGCCCCTGACAAAGTTATCGAAAAACGTAAACTATGATAACTAAAGTTTGCAAATGAAAACTCTCCTTGGTTCCCAAGAAGTATGGGATGTGGTAAAAAATGGGCACCAAGAACCAGAGGATATTGAAGAGCAGACGATTGTCCAACTTGCTGCGTTGAGAGCAACACGGGTAAAAGACAAAACGACGTTGTACGTGCTGTACCGAGCTATTGATGAGTTCGACTTTAAGAAGATAACAAATGTTAAATCTTCAAAAGAAGTGTGTGATATTCTAGAGAAGGCATATAAAGGGGAAAATCACGTGAAACAAGTCAGGCTTCAAACTCTTAGAGGCGAGCTTGAAAGCATGAGGATGAAAGAGGTCGAAGGGGTTGCTGAGTACATCTCCCATGTTGAGACACCATGATGAATCAACTCGGAAGAAATGGAGAGACGCTGCCCACTTGCCGAGTAGTGGAGAAAATATTAAGGTCGTTAATCAAGGACTTTGAAAATATCGTTTGTGCAATAAAGGAGTCCAAGGACTTGTCGGTGCTCTTGGTGGAAGAGCTTGCCAGGGTCGCTTGAAGCGCATGAGCAGCGGAGAAGGAAGAAGAAAGAGGAGTCCCTTGATCAAGCACTCCAAGCAAAGGCAACCTTAAAGGAGAAGAAGGTTCCTTATGCTCATAACACTCAAGGTTGAGGTGGTAGAGGTAGAGGAGGATATGAAAGAGGTAAGGAGCAAGTCGGTCAACAAAACTTGCGTGGCCAAGGACAAGGTAAAGGTCGTGGTGGTAAAGGCCAAGGTGGTCAGTTAAACAATTTTGGAGTTGAGTGCTTCAAATGTGGGAAGTACGAACATTTTGCTAAGGACTGCTATTCCGGTATCAAATGTTATAATAGTGGGAAGGTGGGGCATTTCGCGAAGGACTTCGATCTGAGAGCAAGAAGGAAAAAACCTCCTCTCTGAGGACGCTGAGGAAGAAGGAGTATTGATGTTGTCGAGAAGTTCAAGTGTCGAGCTAAGTCCGAGTTGTTCTGAAAACTTGGTTTGGTATCTTGATACAAGAGCAAGTAACCACATGTGCGCGGATGAGAACTTTTTTAAGGAGCTCACTAAAGTTGAGGTCGGACACGTGTCATTTGGAGATGCATCCAATGTGGCAGTAAAAGGATGAGGTACAATTTGGTACCTGCAGAAGAATAATCGAGTTGGAGAAATCAGAGATGTGTACTATGTACCCTATCTCAAAAGCAAGATATTGAGCATGGGCTAGCTGATGGAGAAAGGGTACTCAATTCTGATGAAAGACCGAACATTATACTTGAAGGACAAGTCAAATCATTTGATTGCCCGAGTAGTAATGAAGAAGAACATAATGTACTAGCTGGACTTAAATATAGTCCAAGTGAGGTGCTTGAAACTTGACGTGATGTGGCACTTTCGATTTCGCCACTTGAATTTTGGCAGGCTGATCGAGTTGGTAAAGAAAGAGATGGTGGAGACCTCCCGTCTATGAAATTTGAAAAGAAATTTTGTGAAGAGTGTGTGCTTGGGAAGCATCTGAGGACCTCATTTTCGAGGACTGCCAAGTACCGTGCAAAGGGACAACTCGGATTGATTCACACATCTTTGTGGACCAATTACCCCTGAGTCTTTCAGTGGGAAAAGGTATTTCATTTCTTTTATAGATGATTTTTCAAGAAAAACCTGGGTATATTTTTTGAAGGAGAAATCTGAGGTGTTCAAGAGATTTAAAGTAATGGTTGAGAAAGAGACTAGTATGCTTATCAAATCTATTAGGTTTAATCGAGGAGACGAGTTTATTTCATCCGAGCTCATGAAGTATTGCGAGGAGCAAGGGATAAGGAGATTTCTGACAGCACCATACTCACCCCAACAAAATGGAGTTGTCGAGAGGAAGAATTGAACCATTCTTGACATGGTTCGAAAAATGTTGAGAAGCAAGAACGTGTCAAAGGAGTTATGGGTGCAATGTGTCATCTATGTGCAAAATAGATTTCCACATGCTAAGCTGAACGAGAAGACACCGCAAAAAGTCTAGAGTGGAAGAAAGCCGAGTGTGTCTCACCTTAAAGTGTTCGACAGCATAGCTTATGGTCATGTTCCAGCTCAACAGAGGACCAAGCTTGAAGATAGAAGCAAAAAGTACGTGTTATTGGGTATGATGAAAAACCCAAGGCGTACATGTTGTTTAACCCAATAACTAAGAAGGTCATTATGAGTTGAGATGTTCAAATTGATGAAGAAAGCAAGTGGAGTTGGAACAACCCAGAGAAGGAGTCCATAGGAAGTAGAAGCTCGGAAGTTGATACACCAAATACTGTGAGAGATCATGAGACATCTGATGAAGAAGATGAACCTCTACAGCCCAGAGCGCGAAGTTTACAAGATATATACAACTCCACTGACAAAGTTCATGTTGTATGTTTCTTGGAAGATTCAGAAGACTTACGTTTTGAAGAGGTCGTGCAGGAGAAAAGGTGGGAAAAGACAATGGACGAAGAGATCGGGGCAATAGAACGCAACAACACGTGGGAGATGACTGATTTGCCCAAAAGAGCACAACCTATTGGCGTAAAGTGGGTGTACAAGAAGAAGACAAATATTGAAGGAGAAGTTGAGCGATATAAAGCTCGATTCGTAGTGAAGGGATACAAGCAGAAGGAATTAATAGACTATGACGAAGTATTTGTTAGAAATGTAGGCTGAGATCAAGAGGGGGGTGAATTGATCTTTGAAAGATTTTCGCAATTAACAGATTATCTATTTCAAAGATTAAGTATTCTGACCAATTCTTGAATTACACAGCAAGCAATAAAAAATAAATGCAGTCACAGAATTAAAGAAGATAAAGGTTTAGAAAGATATCACTAAGTTTTATACTGGTTCACCCAATCCCAGGGATACGTCCAGTCTCCAGCCAAATTCCAGTTGGGTTCCACTAGATTGAATGTTTTACAGATTACAACCTTAACCTCACACTCAATCTACCACAAGAACCACAATTCCAGTTCCTGCACCTAACCTTTCACCAAGAACCAAATTCCAGTTCTTGACCTACCCTGCAGCCCAATTCCAGCTACAGAAACTAGTGCCCACAATTCCAGGCACCCACAATATAGTAAAAGAAAGTAAAGATACAAACATAAGAAACTAAGAACGCTCAAACCAGTTTTATGCAGTTCTGCAAGATGTGTTTCTTCTTCAAAAGAATGCAATTTTGCCTCAAGAAAGAACTTTGATGAACTTCACAAAAACAAGCGTGATTCTCTCTTGAAAGTAGTGCTTTTGATTGCTTGATTGATTGCTAAAATATGTGTAAAAGATTATGTTTAAAAAGTTCAAGCAACTCTGTTTATATAGAAGATTTTCAAAAACTGCTGGTTTAATTAATCTGTTAAAATAATCTTTTAATCTGTTAAAAGTCTTGTTTTAATCTGTTAAAACTTCTTTTAATCCATTAAACCGTTCTTGATTATTTTGCAGATTCGTTTTAACTGATACGACAATGTTTATATCAATTAAAACCCTTTACAAAAAATCTTCCAAGCTGTTTTAATCGATTGTTTCGACTTTCAATCGATTAATATACTGCAAAATATTCTTGTAAACTTTTCCAAGTGATTTTAACTGATAAAAATATGTTTTAATCGATTGAAACACTTAGTACAAATTTTCCAAGTTGTTTTAATCGATTGAAAGACGGTTTTAATCGATTAAAATAATTCTGATCGGTCATAACTCAATTCTGATCGATCATATCTAGTTCTGACCAGTCATATTTTTATTCTGATCGATCAAACAGTACTCTAAGTGGTTTTAATCGATTATTTCGAAGTTGTATCGATTAAAATACTGGTAGAACACTTCTCTGAACATTTTAAGTGATTTTAATCGGTTATTTCGAAACTATATTAGTTAAAATAATGACAGAAGGTTTTCAAAACTTT